AACCCAGACAATTTTTTTCAGCCAGGACAATGATTTAATTAATTCTTTAAGACTAATTAAAAATTAAAATAATATTTTAATATGAATGCGTTTATTGCGAGTATATATATATTGTAATTTAAATAGAGCATATAATAATATATACTTTGAGGCTTTTTAGGGCATGAAGACCTCAGCCTTAGTCATTACGACACGCTGTTATCTTTACTGCAGGGTGATTCCCTTTACTACGAATCAGGTGCTATATCTAAGGAAATAAAATAATTTGTAGTTTTAAATTTTTTTTAAAAGTTTAAAAAGGCATAATATTAAGAAATATTTTCTACCATTTTCAGCATACCTAACATATATTCTTAAAGTTTACATTTTTTCAAAATTAAAATTCCTTATATATTCTAGACATTGGCTGCGGTTTGCGGTAATATATTATCACACTGTGGGTATATTGTGTACTTAGGAATAATATAGTGCGATGGTAATAATATCATTATACCTACCTTATATATTATATTAGGTATATTATTCTTGTGACGCGACGTAGGTACCTATTTATTTCGTATTATAATAATATATCGTCGTCGATTCTTTTTTTATACTTTTGCGTAGACACTAACGACACGCGGACGGCGACGGGTGTAACGCAACAACCGGGCGCGAGTTAAGTATATTATATATACATATTGTATTATACATAGTGTGTAATATATAAAATATGTACCTATACATGCATAATATATAACATAGGTACATAGCGCTCCCCCGCAGTCGTCGTCGGCTCTCGTCCGATTTGACGTATCACTCGCCTCCCACGCGCTAGCACGACACCACCCGGCTCGGCCGATTTATGGGTTCGCGCAAAACGTACACAATTATTATTACTATTATTATTATTATTATTATTATTATTATTATTATCATTATCGTAGTCGTACGCGAGCTGTGTACGCCGCCCGTGGAAATATATTATATTATATAGGGAAAATAATAATAATGGTAAATAAATAAACCTACCGGATACGGCGGCAACATGGGCGCAGTGGTATAATAATATAATATACATTATTATTATTATATATTATCGTACCTATACTATATTATTGTGCTCGTGTGCGCACGTTTCGGTTTTGTTGCAGCGGCAGTCGCAAAAAGCAAAAAGAAAATGAAACAGTCGCTAATATTTGAATAATTGATTGTGCCACCGCCGCCGCCGCCTCTGTCGTCGTCTGAATAATAATGTTGTTGTATAATGTGCTCGCCGAGGCTAAGTAAATATAATTTATAATAATATACTGTGTATTATTATTATTATTATATATAGTCACCAGTAACATTGCTTCGCCGGCGAAGTTCTTGAATGATTCATTCACACACACGCGTGCTCGCCGCCGCGATGAGTGGCACCTTCGTATAATATTCGCGTTACCGGTTTTCGCATTTTTCTGCCTTGCAAGTATAATATAGGTGTACCGTTTTCATTCAATTAGTCATTTTCGCGCACTCTCGTCGGATCGTATTCACACGGATATTCGTAATGTCTAAAGTACACCAATTATTACGGCTTGTGTAATAATTAATAACGGGTACATATCTTATTATTTCCTCCTAAAGTTAACTGTTTAAGCTTGCCCGTCGTTACTGCGCGTCACCCGACTGTTATTATACCATTATTATTCACAGTTTTCGCTGAAACGATCACATCCCGATCGATTACGAATTTATAATAATATGTAGGTTATATTCACAAAATTAGATAGTAAGATCGATGTTTTTTATATTCATAAATGTTGTGGAGAAAACAGTTTTTCATTTTAGCTGATAGCATTTTTACTATTATGAAAAATATATAAGAATATTAAAGTATCATGAGTTTGTCATAGTTTTGTCTACAGTTATGTATTAAAATGTACGATGGTAGGTATATTATTTATACATCATGTTGTTTTGAAACTGTAAAAGTGGTATGCGTACAGACGTACAGTTGATATTAATTTGTGCTTGGGTGGCGTAGGTTTATTATTGTTGTCATATTTAGATTTCTAGTATAATACTAAGGCTGCTTAGATAATTTAGGTCATTAAGTGTGAGAGACATTTATTACGTAAAAAATATAATTTTCTAATCATACCTACAAACCCATACACAGGTAACCACCTTAAATGATTATTTTACATTATAAATCATGTTCTATCATCTGGATAGTATAATCACGATAGTGTCTTGAATGGTGCGGCCTCCTAACTCATGTTCTCATGTAAGATTACATTATACTTAAGTATAGATACTATTTTTGACCAGTATATCCAGTGATCCTCTTAGCTCATCCCGGGTCATGTCAATCTGTACGGGAGACCTTGACATTTCGACAGATGGGTTTTAGTGTTCAAGCAGACAACCACGAAAATAACATCGTAGGCAATGCTATTAAAATTATATCAGACTAAAAAAAAATAATGTATATATATGTTTAGTTATTACGTCTCACTGGCTTCAGTCTTTGTCTCAACCGAACGAAGATCCCAATGACGATTGTTTCCAGTTAAGTCTCCGCTATATAGTATCTGCCCCTACGAGAGTATCGATAAAATAACACGTGGATTACACACTACATAGCCGACAAGAAGCAACGATGACCTCCGGCCTGTTTATATACGGCTGTTCGTGACCATCGCGCGTGGTCCAAATCTCGCGGGAGAGCTATGGGTATAAGTCCAAATTCATCCGGGTCGATTAAAGGTTAGAATACACACGACAAACGCGTTTTATAGGCCAATCGATACTATTGTGTCAACCCACCAACCGGTGATCTTTGGCTGAGATATTTAGCGCAATATTATTAAACAAATAGCCCCATAAAACAATGTACAACAATGGAATATTACAAGAACTTCGCCAGCTTTATAGTTCATCTGATATTCCTCAAGTTAATTTTTTTTTTATTACACCTGATGTGAATACTTGATATTGACCATCCGTGAGAACGGAACTGTTGAACGGGATAAACGTGATGCAAAGTTACATTTTTTTTGCATTTTATTACAATCACTTTTTTGTTCTACTGTCATTTGTTTACAAATTTGACACACTTTATGAGGAGCCTTTAAGGTAATATTTTGTATTTTGAGTGTTTCAGTTATTTTAAAATACTATAATAATGGAATATACGTCATTATCATGAAATATCTATTAGGTGCAATATAGATTTCCGGGATGATATGTGTGACAAAGGGTGTGCACTGTACAAGGGGTCGCCAATACATATAGGTATTTTGTTTTCTTTGTTTGCTTCACGCACGATATGGTGGAATTAGGTTCGTACACTTTAAAAAAGCACTGCTTGTGTGAATATACTTTCTAAAAATAAAAATTGACGTTTTAATATTTTGATCTATTTAATAAATTATCACAAAATATTTTTCACATCCTAAAAACGTCTATTAATTACTATAAGAAAGCGGGCTGAGAATCGTTTTCGAATGTGATCATGATTTTCAACTAGACTTTCTACCTTTTAAAAATAATACACTCAATGACTAGCGTTGTATATATTTTGTCAATATTGGTATGCTGCTAAGTCTGTAAGTATATATGTAAACATATTAGCCAGGTAATTATTTTCTGCGCCATTTATGTATTATATATAAGAAGTTATTTCTAATTTTTTCTTAACAATTAAATAATTTTGTTTTTATTGTTTTGCAATGTTATGAATCTTTACATTATTTATTATCCTTGTTTAAGACATTAACACCGAAAGCGTATAGCTATAAGTTATAGTTTAAGAAGTGCTGAAATATCATTATCGTTTTTATACCACAATCACATAAAATAAATAGAACACAATTCTATACTGGTGCCTCTCGATGCATGTACGTCAATAAACATAAATAATATATTCAAGTTAATATTGATGTTAAGAAGCATTCTGCAGCAATTACATTTTTTAAGCGCTGGCCTCTAAGTGGGAAGTGTAATCGTCGTATCTTATATTTTTACGCCACTAATGATTAAATATATTTTGTATGTTAATATTACGGTGGTCGGTGGATATTTTTATTTAATTGGACATGAGTTGTAAAAGTGGAATGTCTACAAAAATTAGTACATGTTAATTAAGATTTATTAATCATTAAATGCAGTGTTTCTAAATAATATGCCAGTATTTCGCACAAAGATGTATCTCGTGATTATAATATATATTTTTCTTATCTTCGACTTCCTGTGGATGTTATTCTATGAATAATACATTTAATATAAAGTACACGTATACACGTAGGTACTTATATACTATTGTTAAACAGTCCCCTATACTAACATTACCCGAGTGCGCATCGTCTTTGAACAAGGAAATTACCCCAAGACCACACGCGTGGTAAATACGTAGAAAAAGAATAATAATAATAAGAAGAAGAAGACGGGCGAGAAAATAACAGTGCTGTCGATTTATTTGTCGGAACCAAGGGAGACTGAGTAAGGGAAATCTGAGAGACTGGTTATGTAAATACACCCTGTGTTTATTTTTTTATTCCCGTTTGTTATTATTGTTATTAGTGTAATTCGGACAACTCGATTAAGTTTTTGAGACCAGAGTGGTAATATTTTCCACATTTTAATTGGATAATACTTTAATAGTGATCAAACGAAGTAAATAAATGGTAAAAAATCACCGACTATAATTTTGTCCAACATTATATAAACACATTAATCGTTTAGTCATGTATGTGGCAGTTTTGTGTCCCAAACATGTAAAACTATAAAAATTATATTAATAATTTATAATATTATTCATGAATATTTGAATAATATAGTTCACGAACTAGTGTCTCGCAACCGAAATGTGACATAAAAATAAATCTTGAATTTTTCAACATTTCAGTACCTATAATTTTAAAAATATGTATTATAATACGTATACTTAATCATAGCTTGAAAAATGCGCACATATCAGTTAATTAACTAAAATATTATAATAATATGTGTACATTTTTTGTGTTTTATTCTAGGAACCTCGACACAAACCTTTAACTGTTCAACAACTCGTCGACGAGTTTATTGGACCGTACTATGTGAATTATAGCGAAACACGTGCAGTTCTCGTAAGACAAGCAAAACAATTGCTTGCAAACGTATACCAAGGCGATGTCGCCAACTTCCATGGGTGTTTTTGTGTGCCAGTCAGCAAAATTCTCAAAAAAGTTGAAGAGACATTCAGAAAATATCAGGTATTTTAGTATTTATGATGAGTTATAACATTATCGTTTAGAAATAGTTTATTGTTCTTAGAAATAGAAGTAATATTATAAATATTAAATTGAATGCGATTAGTAAAAATCAATGGTTGGTACTTGGTACATGTCCTTGAGATAATATTGAAGTTGTAGTCGTTTCTCGAACAAATCGTAGTCGTGAAATCATGTTAAATGCGATTATATAAGCAATATAAGTGGCTCAAGTTGTAGTTTAAACTTGTTTTTGAATTCAGAATGACTGTCATGTCATTTTTGATAAATATCTTCTGCTGGTAGTAGATTTATGATGTTCGTGCACGCATTGCACATTCATGGGTGCACCATTTGTTATTGTTATTTCGAGTACTAAGAGCAATGGAGGGGTTCGTTTTATGTGCATTGATGAAGATTCTGCATTGGCCTTGTATAAAGGGTTGGTTGTATGCTGAAAACGTTACTGTTGTGTGAGTGGATAACGGTGTTTTTATTCGATTAATGGAGAACATGACTCATGCGGAGTATACCGCGAAGTTCAGTTGTATATTCAGACCCAATGACAATGAAATGTGTTTCAAATTTCCCACGTTTGCGTGTTTTCGTACTGCTAAGGGTGTAAAATATAAATGGCTGTATACACATTACACATAACATATAATAGGGTTCGAAAAATGGTTGTGACAAGACATAATTTGTGGTCATACCTAATATAATTTAATTAAAATAGTTGCGGTCATGATTATTTACTGTTTTTTGTCATCGCTTTAATGGAAACGCATCTCCATCGCCGCTCGATAACAATACAACGGAGTATATTTTAAATTGAACTATAAATCATTTAGATGTATACATGCAACGTGTTTATTAGCCATTAGGTACTGACTAAATTGTACAAAAAAGTATCGTTGTATACTACATACAGACGATTAATATATTAATTCTGTAAACGTTTTTTTTCCCCATTCGTGTTATTTTCGTGATAACTGTATACATACCACTATACCAGGTACTAGTATACAAATTGATTATTATTTTAACAAACAAATTCAACTTATTTGTCTATATTTTTCTAGTCCTAATAATATTAGGTACTTATATCTGATATTTGTTATAATCTAACCCTTCGGTATAGACATTTTAGTAATCCTAATGATTAGTGGATGTATTTTAGTTACTCGGGAAATGGACGTATAAGATATAAACTGTTTTCGAAAATATTAGTTGAGCGTAATGAAATATAATCCTGAATCATACGAGTAATTCTATAAAATAATAATTAATAATTATCCTATAATAATTATATTTAATCTGAAGTAATATGTCCGTATTCCTATGTATACTTATAATAAACACAAATATTTTTATTTTATTATTGATATATCAACCATTTGAAGTCGTGCCTGTATTATGGGCACATTTGTGCAGTTATCGTATCTAAACATCCTTTGGAGTTTGTCATAATAACTCAGCGTTCAGATAAACTGCATAGCGAAGCAAATAATACAGTATGGCATTGGACAAATTTTCACTAATCAGTTATATTATGATCTTATGATCTATATAAATACGCAAAAGTATGAACTGTGCGTTTATATGCCAGATTGCTTACAAATCAATGATATAATGCACAATTATACTTTATATTTACGTAATAATAATAATATTATGTTCAAGTGATTTACTAGAAATCTTCATACTGCTCGCTTTCTACGTGATTATTTTATCATGAGTTTTACGGCATTTTTCAAACCTCCCCTCATATTATAATATTTAAAATTTAAATACAATAAATTCTAATTTATAAATAACTGTCGTATAAGAATCTGAAAGAAACTATACGAGGGACCCGCGGACCGTGAATGATAAATGATGTAACTTTAGGATGGCATTTTACCTTGACTCCTGGTATGTAATTCTCTGGGGACAGATGGCACGTGTTGTCGGGATGCGGAGGTTTATCGAGCCCCGTTTTACCGACGCATGCAGCGATGTCCACAAACAGCATCTTGAAAACGCTTGATTGGAAATAGATGCAGAGACTTAAGGTCGGAATTTCATCGCACTGCATATCTATTATAATATTCACCATACCAATGCACTCGTGAACCCAATGAACAAGAAAAAATCAAAGTGGAAACGATGAGATCAAGATTCAAACGGTGGAGATTAACGCAGAGAAAAGGCCATGACAACCGTGATCACCCGCTGGTCGCGAGTACCGTGAACAATTTTATATGGTCCGCGGTTGCTTCGCGGTATGCACCACTGCGGTCAGACTTGGGGGCTTAGAACCTCGCCGGATTGTGTTGATAAATGTTCGACGACAGCTTTCCGAACGCGTTTATCTGTGAATTCCACACACAGTATGGTTCGTAATGTTCGTAGCATAAGACCCATGATTCTCTATACACCATTAATAGGTGTGAATTTGGCGAGATGAAAGACAAAAGTGCATTGAGTATAAGACGTTTTAGTCTTTAGATTCATAGTAATATATCCAACCTGATGGTTGATAAATATTATATTTAAATAGGTTTGATTAGAGTAGCACCGATTGAAATATTATTATATCAAGATTTTTTTTATTTTAATTTAATACAACGATCAAGTCTATAATTCAGTTTATACATAGGCATTTACATATACACTTGAACAATTTTTATAAGTGTGTATAGAATACAAACTGTGTTTGCATGAGTGTCTGCCAAAATGGAAATCAAATCAAAACAGTATTCATTTTGTTTTATTAAATTATGCATCACGATACATATAATATGTTTCAACAAAACTAATAAAAGATTTATATAGTCACGCCAATTGCAGACACGCTAACCATGGAAATAAAAATATGTTGAAGCTTCCGGATTCCTGTGGAGTGGGTAGTAAACAAATAAAATATTACACAGAGTTCAATATTTTACGACTCTGTATATCCAACACAATTATTTGAAATAATGCCAATACTAAGATTTAGTTTAGTTAGAAACCTCTTATAGATGTTGTTCTACATTACCTTAATCACAAAATTTGGATAATAGTACACATCACAAGTCACAATAGTATTTTTTTGATCTATATATTATTATACCTATATATATTATGTTTATATTATGTATGCCTATGAGCATGTCTGACAAATTAGCATTTGGTCTAGTAATAAAATAACAGTATTAACATGAATTAACATAATTAAAATTGAACTCTATTTGTATTTCGATGTACAATAGAATGAGGTTTGATTAAAACCTAGATTGAGTGAACATGTATGGTTTTTATTTGTTATTATCATCATTATTTTAACCAACGCCTTGCGTTATAGTATCGACCAAGCCTTATTGTTTGTACGTGATCGATGGCTGCTTTTTTCCTCTTATATAGAGACGAGAACAATAATAATAATAGCAATTATTATTACTATTATTATTACTACAGCTGAAAGGACTGTGTAGCTCACAAAAGGAGGACTACTCTCGTCTCGTATTTATGTATAAAACAGTCAATGTTATTAAAAATTATTCGTTTCGGGCACCGCCGGTCATGACCTAAGACATTTTTCCCATGTCTTGGGTTATACAGTCACCAAAGTCTTTATTAAATTAAATTTCGGCTTACATCAAAACCAAACTTGTTTTCAACACAGGTGACCCTATTGTGTTATTTATGACAAACAATAATACATTTTATACATGTATCTCCTAAAGTCTTATTTATTTAGATAAATATGGTGATTTAAGAATAATATTATAACTGTTTTCTTATGTATAAAAATAATAGTTTTTTGGGCTTACAGAACAGTTATATTTCACTGTTGGAATAGTAACACTGCAGCCACTTCAGTTGTTTCTTGCTTAAATTGTTTATTTTTTAAATTGGAGAGTAACTGTCGTAATTGAATTTAACAAATTAAAATGATACAATTGAAAAACGTTAATTGTTTAATCAATTAGTTTCAAGGTTTATTAAAGTCTGTATCAATATAATGTTTTGAACATTTTTTGTTCTTATGGAAAAGGTTGTACCAACATATTTATTTTAGTGTACTCGTTCTTTAGAAAATAATGCAATAATGTATAACATAATATTTAACGTTTAAATATAATTACTGAAAGTAATTTAGGGACAACTATTGTTAACATTATTTATGTAAATTCTTGATGATTTATATTATTAAAATACATGCACCTATTTTACTTAATAATTTATATAATTTTAAACATCTATAACAGACTTTATAGTATTTTTTTACTGTTTAAACTTCATTATATTCCTGAAATCATCCTTTTAACAAATATTACACATAGATTTCTTATAAATATGTAGAAAGTAAATCCAAATTACCTAAATGTGCAATCTTATAACAAAACTATTAATTGTTACTACAAAAAATGGTCTGTTCAAACATGGATTACATTCAATTTTCTAGTATTACAGGTAGGTTGTATTTACCTACATAATTATTATATTAGTATCCCATTACTAAAAAATTCAAATCATTTTATTACTTGTATTTAATATTATATTGCACTACAATTCTTATTTAGACATTTAGTATACATAAAAAAACATCAAACAGTCAAAATAAATTTTAAAACGTTGAAGTATTACTGTTAACTGTTATTTAAATTTTGTACCTATCAATTTTGAGAGAATTTTTATTACATGTAAATTTATATTACATGCAATATAAATTCTCTCAACTATAATTATTTCATGCATGAAAAAATGTTAGTGGTGCTGATCTATAGGTTAAGTGGTTAAGTGGTGTATTTCATCTTTTTTAAATCTAACCGTATGTACATCGTAAATTAATTTAAAAAAAATTAATGAACCCGTTGCAGTTAAATATTAAGAAGTTGTTACCTACAATAAATCCGAGTAGATATACACTGTTGCATGGCATTTTTGGCTTCAATACAGAGTTCATTTCACCGCGGTCTCGCCATAGGAAATTAGTTGGTTAGATGTACATGTCGTGATCATGATTGATCGTTTTTTAT